CATTTCAGATCAGGAAGACATTATTCCCGAGCCCGTCCCGCAGGAAGATGACGAAGGAGACGCCTAAAGACTCCATAGTCATATTCAAAGCTTTTACTTTCGAGTCTCTCTTTTAGTTAGTTTGATCTTTTATATTTTGAGCACGTTTTTTGTTTTAGTGTAAGGGATGTTAATCGAAATTTTGACTTCGCTTCCGCATTTGACATTTTTAATATACATATTTCATTTTAAATTTCCGGGGCCGTTACACATGGGACTTTTCAGCTCTGTACGGTTAAAGATAACGTGCATAGTAGGGTTCACCCTATGCAATAAGTTCGTACACTTTTTCCTATGACGCCTGGTAAGCCCTTTTTATTCAACCGTATTAGTTCACACATATCATTTTTTATTTATTATTTAACCTTAAATGCACATATGCTCGCATCTCCAAGCAAGACAAGAGTACAAAATTCATGTTTTAAGATACATGAATGAAATAAATATACATTATGCTAACCAAACGTATAATATATAAAATTAAACAACGAAAAAGATAGATTAAGGCAAATAAATTGAAGTAGTTAAAATAAAATAAAGTAACTAAATAAGCACAATAATGATTGGAGAATTGGTTAATATAATTAAACAAACATAAACTGACTGGTTACTGGTTCCATCGACAACCTGTATTTAATTAATCAAGGAATCACCAATTATCTAAAATTTTTGTTTGTTATTAATTTACCTTTAATTTCACCGTAAGAAAGAAAAGAGGTGAGAGATTCTTACATTGGGTTAGTGTCCAGAACACCATTTTTTACACTACGGTTCTCGATGGTTCTCAGTTCTTAGATTTGTTTGGGTTTTTATGATAAGATTAAAATATACATAAAAAATGGCGTGAAAATATGCAAGGAATATCAGAAAAAAAGCAAAAATCTCAACGGGGGTCAGGTTGGGATTCTGGCACGAAAGCACTGCCGCTTTGTTGCCTGGTCCTCCTTCTTCAACGATTATTCCTCTTGAGTCATACTGGTTTTGGCTAGTTCTTAATGGAAATCTTTTTAAATCGTTGTTAGGGTGTGTTTCTCGACGAAAGGAGGAAAAAAATAAATGTTTACCGGTGGTTTCAATCCTCCAGTACGGCGGCTCAGCCAAGCTCCGTCGTTCCTTCCTTGCAGCTTCTGTCGGTTACCTTACATCGAAAACATGTTAGACGGCTATAGGCGGAGAAACGGGAAGAACAGAAATAATTTTTAGCTTACTTAAGTGTTTTCGACATTCTGGCACAGTGGCGTTGGAATTCTTCTGATAGCTGGGTCTCCTTCCGGTCGCCCTTTTTCTTTTTTTCCAACGAAGCGTGTCGGCTAGGGTT